TTTATAGCAGTTAGATTAGATTAGATCAGCTAGGATTAGGATAGTCAGTGACGACCAGCCTAACCCCACTTTCCCAACAGAATTGTGTAAAAGTACAATAAACATTGCAGGTAAAATTGCATATTTTTTTACCTCCGAATATGATCTAGGAAAAGGTCGAAAGAACTTGGGTCTTAAAAAAACTACAGCGTCTTCATTGATGGATTACATCTCATGAAGAAACTAATTATACAACTGAAAAGAATCAATATAAAATAACTAGACACAGTATGTCTATAATTTACATTGCTTGCCAAAACTGAGATCACAATATATATATATATATATATATATATATATATATATATATATATATATATTAAAAAAAGCGACATTTTGGCTATACTTTCTCATCCTAGCCCTACATATATATAATTTAATCTTTTAGAAACTATTTTAGTCCAATGAAATGCTTTTGAAGTGAGAACTGCGTTACATTGATTTTTTCCATTTTAACCTTTATAGGAATGTTTATTTTCCAAATACGGTCAGCACATTGTGGCCGTGTTCGTACTTAATGTTACTGAGTATTACCTTAAAATACTTAAATAAGCTTAGCTTATTAAACAAGAGAAATGAATTGATGGTTAAATGTGGGCATAAAAATAAATATCTGTTCAAATACGTTGATCCAGATTAATTTTTAATGTAAAATATGACTTTTCTCTTTTTTAATTAAAAAACAGTAATCATCCTTTATGCTTAATATAAAATTAATATTCACAATTTTAAATAAAAATTAATATATTTTTTAAATTTATTTATTCTATATATATAAAATGAAAATCCCGTTTATTTTAAATGCAAAATATGTTTTGAAAAAAAACAAACAAACTGTAATACCGTAATACCCTTATAATACATGAACTGCGCTAACATTGCGTTAAACAGATATTTTTACTAAAATTTAAATTACGTAACGGTCAGTCTATACTCAGCACCTGAAGATTGCATTGTGCATGAAAAAAAATATATTCAATTGTATGGATATTTGTTTGTAAACCTGGGCGATCATCAGACAAATTGTTTTATTTTTTAAAATTGGATCTA